ATTTAATGTTTTAAAACTGAAGTGGAACTGGACCGGACACGTCAGCCGGATGCATCCGTAGAGATGGGCCACTATTGTCACCCAGTGGACATCTCAGGATTGACGCCGTAGGCGGGTTAGGCCCCAGAAAAGAGGCCCATCCAGACGCCTATGTCGAGACTGGGTAGACACGGTCGAAAGATCGGGAGCTGTGGAAGCAACATGGGAAAGCCTTTGTCCAGCAGTGGGACATTACACGCTAGTAAAAAATGATTATTTTTGAAATTGTGCTTTTCTGTCAGATTCATTGCAAGTTGGCCAGTGCGTGGCGTCGGTAGTGGGACAAGAACCATTGACTCGAGTAGAGACTATGGTCGACGCTTGGTATGTGCAAAGCATGCTGTACAAAGGAAATGTCACCTACTATGTGCCGTAAGTTTCATATTCAAATGCAGGCCGTGTGTAAAATGTATTACGTTAGTATAGTATCGGGCTGACATAAAGAAATGTATAAACCGTGCTTCGGTTACCCAGATTTTTTCTCTCTCTTTCTCTATTGTTTTTCTTCTCTCTCATTGTTTTACTTTTTGTCGTGAGCTAAATTGCCCGTTTGCCGTACATTGCAGTAGTTGGTCGTATTATCGCCAGCTAAATCTTTCTCTATATGTATGAGAAGAGGCCTTTGCTCCGCAGTGGGCGCTTATAGGCTGATGATGATGATGAAACACAACATATGAGCAATGCATAAGGGACGCCCGAAGCTACGCGAAACGCGTTGCGTTTCATTCGTTTCGTAAGAACTTAAGAAGTAAAGCCAAAGGAAGTAAGAATTATTTTTTAAACAGTAGAGACTTGAGACCAGTGAATACTGAATTGAATCGTCAATGTGTCACGTCAACACCCATGTCTGTTTGAATCTCGTTGTAATACCATCTATTTTTGTTGTAGACCACGGAAAGATGGTAAATACTATGGAGATTTTGCACAGACCTTGTGGGCGAAAAGTTATATGGTGGGCTGTGCTCGCAGTCGATTTATGGTTAGTGCATTTGTTTTATTTTTTTACATAGAAAATGTTAAGACACGTTAGGCATACGCGGGAAATCCATGCGCACGAATGGGTCGGCTCAGCCGGAGTAGTACCACGTCCTCACAGAATGCCAGCGTGAAGCAATATTTACCTTGTGTCGTGTGAGCGAGGTTACCGGAGGATTAATCCTTCCCACATCCTCATTCCTCAAATCCCTGTATCCTTATTCCTAATAACCCACAAAGGGCGGCAACACACTTATAGTAACTTCTTTGGTATTACGAGTATGTTGCTGGATGTACCGCTGCCGGGCTCCTAGCGAGAGAAGAAACATGTGGTTTTTAATCAGTTAGAGTCTGACAGTCCTTGTTATCCACCCAGCGCCATTGGATCATTCACTTAAAATAAAAAAGCTTTCATATTGCAGCAAAAAAATCTAATTTTAATTTATCTATAAAATAAAAAAAATCTCTCCTATTCATGCGATACTGTATCCTTCGTTTTAGCAAAATTATTTAATATTTGCATTGATGTGAGTAGTGAATAGATTTTAAAATGATATAATAACATTTTGGCCTCCTTAGAAATTTGGTAAAGAGACAAATGTCATGTATGTTTACATCTTTCATCAGACACATTGGCACGGTCGTCTTCAAAGTGTGGAACGCCTAGTCTGCAACATAGCACCGTATGGACCGCAGGCGACGCGACCATTATGGCGTCCTGGTGCACCAACGAGTTCCTGTCCACCTCGATCAATGCAATCTCTTGTATGGCTTAGGCTTTGTGATTACAGTTAGTATTAAGCTCCATTAAATTACAAATTATGCTTATAGTGTAGTAATAGTACACTCTAATAAAAATAAACATATAATCAAGAAGCCAACGGTATTCGAAGATATTCTTGGTATTTAAATCAAAGTAAAAATTTCAGAAAGAAAACATAACGAGAATATATCTCTCGATCCATCTACGACGCTTGAAGAATATTTACTTTTAAATACTGTATTAGAAATAGAAGGGAATGAGACATTAAACTATTTAGGAAGTTTGGACGAGATTTATTTAACCAAACTGGCTATAGCAACAATGGTGAATATGTTTACGACACAAGCGTATTTTGATTCGATGCAGAAGAAGGAAATCGTTGAATTTGTAGATGTTATCGAGATCCACGTCAATGATAGTACAATTGCATTTGTACCTCAAGTGACAACAACAGAAAACTCGAGATTCGTACATAATGATCTATTGACTACTGCAAACACGATGGTATCACTGCAAAAGGAAATGACAACAAAATTTACAAAAACAACACAAACAAAATATGCTCGGAATCGAATAAAAGGATCGGGAATTAATGACATGAAATATTTCCCTGATTTCATTGAAATGACAGAATGTAAGTGTTAATTTACAAAACAATAAAAAATACACAAATAATTGACTTGGCATCGTATAGTTCCAGATATCAAAGCCATTGAGGACAAACATAAGATAAAAATGGATTTGCATGAGGAAATTCAAACAACCAAGGATAATAAAATGTCGTACATTTTATTGAATGATACAGAAGTTACAAAACCTATTGAGTATATTCGGTAAGAAAGGGGCCATACATATATGGCAAAAAGCAGTTAATTATGCCTTCACACACAAACACACCAAAACACCAACAAAGACACTCACATGCACAATAATCAAAATTATTAATATCAATTATTTCTAATTTTTCTGGAGAGAGATAGTGCCTGTGTCTTATCAATTAGTGCAATATTCTGTCATTCTGAGCTGATTGGAAGTTGCCGTGTCGCGATCGATGTGCGATGTTTCTACACATTGGTTTAGCAAAATGATTTGTTCTTAAACATTTCATGTTCTTGGGCCTTCTAAATGAACATTATATGTATTTCAAACAAGAATGTCGTATAGGCAGATGTGTCCTATACGTTTAATGTCTAGTAAATCCTAAAGTGCAGTGAATTGAGGAAAACATTTCTCGGATTTTGTGCTATCAATATTTTAGTTATTATTAAAAAAAATAAACCTTGTCTTCAGTGAAGCTATTCAAAATGTTCAAATATGCCATAATCTGGTCGAGGGTGTATGTGTAGATGAAATTCAAAGTACCACTGCTGTGTCCGAAGTTCCAAGTACAAAGGATCATAATTTCACAGGTCGGTACGAAGTGAATTATATAAATGTGGATCTTGAAATTAATGGGAAACGTTCTAAAATCCGTCGTGTTGCAGTGGCACCGAAACAACTTTTGGAAGATGTAACAGATGAACGGCATCTTACAAGCAGACGTTATTTTGGTGTATTCGATATTCAGATGTATGATCTGCTGGATGATCGAAGCTTCAGTGGCAGTGGAGACGAGAATATTGTCGTCCCAAAAGCAAATAGTACCACCTCCACTACGACTATAGATCGTAAGTTTGAAGAAGAACAATATGCACGCATCATACCTCTGGGGATTACTTTTGGTTGAACTTTTTAAACACGTTTAATAATTTAGAATTAATTATTTATTAATATGGATTTTTGGATCGTCAATCCGATATAATAAAATAATATTGCCTCTAAATTGTTCGCAGCTGAAACGGTTCGTGAACTACAAGAGGCGTTGGATCGTATTGAACATGATTTAGACCCGACATCGTATAAACGAAAGGTATGTGACTTATAAATCCCTAACCGTAAATCCCAAACAACCCACGAGAGACCGGTAACGCTCTAATTGTAACTAGAGATACAGCGTCATTACAGAGAACACTATATAGGCGTAGGTATACATATTTTGATGATGATGGAAAATCTATTAATTACCTGACTTACTGGATACACCAGGAACGAAGAGACCTTCGTGATGATACACTAAACGAACTAGAAGCTACATCTCGTGAATATGCAGAGACGCCGAGCAACGAATCAGAAAGTGTTGATCATATCGTAAATATTTTGAAAAGAATACCTTCTTGGGCGAAAACTACGGATGAAAGAATGAATGGAGCTAGTAGGGTCGCTCCATCTCTTGCGATATTTTTAGCTTTACGATTGTAATCACTTAGGTATATTTTAGATGGATTTTATTTGCTATGCATAACTGTACAGTTTTTATGATGTAGTAAAGTGAGTGTTTGATATTGTAATTGGCTTCATTTTATTTGTCCGACTTGTGTGCCTCCCCTAATATTTAATTATTTATTCAGACTAGATTATTATATATAACCTTGAGGTGGGGTCTAAAGATTCCGCAACCACGTGAGAGTCGGGACACCACTAGAGTAGTTTCGAGTCAGGAAGTGTCTTACGGCAGACACTTTTCCCTTTTCGACGTAAATAGGATTTTTGAGGTTGACCTAGACAAAAAGTATTTTTGGTTGGAAATATGTAACGTCATGAAATTCAGAACTCTTTAAAGAACTTTTCGTATTCGTTCTTGCCACACTTTATCAGCCCCTCGTGTTTCCGAAACGAGATACATTAACACAAATTAACAACATGAAGAAATTTAACACATGAATGACACAAAGTTTAGAATTAATGTGTTCGATCTTATTTTAACTTGTTTAACAGTAACTGAGGAACTAATAATTTTACAAAATTCTCAGTCAGATAAATGTTATCTGAGGAATACAATTGTTGCTGACACTGTCTTAAAGAAACATTCTGCCGCAACAGCATTGTAATTATTTCCCAGGTACAACTTTTATCTAACCATTGAAAAATCAGCCCCTAATGTAACATAATTACACAAATTATAATGTATCATATGCTGCATGGGTTTGCCTGGAATTCATATTATACTTATACTACGGCACAAATGATTCTTAACACCAAATTACGAATTAATGTATGGCTGTTATACTAGGTCAGTAAGAATTATTCTGTTTGCTACGAACTCTCTAACAAAGGATTTGGAACATTAATGAAAACTTAATGACAGGTAATTCTCGTCCTCGATCGCCGGTCATCGGCCGACGGCAGTTGTGTTGTGGTCACCGTACCGAGTGGTCGTAGGCACGTAGCCGCGTAGCCGCGTAGTCACGTAGCACGACCGAATATTTTCATTATAGCGGTTCTACGTCGCTACGCTTTCATCAAGTGCATTTAATTTTGATATTAAGACATTTTTTTAAAACAGTTAAAGGTTTCGTCTACTTATTCATATTGCTTTAAAATTATATCATAAATTTATTAAAAACATATTCGGTATTTTGTTATGATCACAAATTAAAAAGACAAAAAACGTATTTTTTTTCCTCGAGTGTAACAAAGCCTCAAGCTGTTTTTCCAAAGTACAATGACAAATGACAAAAGAACTAACTCTGAGCCTCGAGAGTCCACTGCCCGAGGATGGAACCGAAAACCCGATGACTTGAAGTTTGAGTTTGGATTTGGAGTACCTCTAGGTGCAATGTCGGCCCATCCTGCTTTTCATTCAGCTTGGGACCTCGGATGGTAAGTTTTGATTAACTATTTTATTTAATTAAAAATGATCAGAAAGCAGTTTCATTATTAAACTCACACCTAGTAAATACAAAAAAGTTTAGGTTGTAATGTAACCCACGATGCTGTCTACAGGTAGGCATAATGTTTGTTAAGAATAGAAGATCGCTAGGGATATTAATAGTAAAAAAATGTTTCTGATAAAAGCTAAGAATATTTTGACATCTTATAAGTGGTGTTAAAAACTGCAGGTTTTGTTATATTCCTGGATCGGAAAAATTGTTTCAGAAGAAAATTCTAATAAAACTATAATTTTCTCTGGATTGTGAAATATTTGGTGTTCTAAACTTCAGTCAATCTGTTGTTTAATCTGCACACATTTTGATGAGATATACATATATAATTTGTTAAGATAAATCAAATATCTCTTTTACGCTGGTATGTATTTAAACCGACTTCAAAATATAAGAAGGTTATCATTTCAGGAATGAATGCAAATATTCTGGGTATGATACAAAAAATACATGTACGATGCATTTATTTCACAGTACTGATTGTGACCTTATTCTAAATTTATAGGTGACCATTATAGTATAATAATATAGTTTTTTTTTCTAATATTACCGAGTTTGAAATATTATTCAATTTATGGACATGACTTTCAATTATACGCACACAAATATACATGCGATCATACGTGTTACATGGTGACGTAGCCTGTTGGCATTGTAAACAATCACTTTAATTAATCTACACTCCTACATCTTCTATCTATATATATATATATATATATATATATATATAGATATATATATATATATATATATATATATATATGTATATAAAAATGAAACCCGTTTCGCGTTGTCACGGCATCACGTGTGAACGGCTGAACCGATTTCGATAATTCTTTTTTTAAATGTTTGTGGAAGTCCAAGGATGGTTCTTACGGCGAGAAAAAAACGAATAATTGCCGGGAAAACCCTAAAAACAGCCCTTTTTTTTCACATACAAACATTTTCTAACTAAAACTTAGAATCAATTTGAGCTTTATTGCTGTTATACATAAGGTTCATATTAAATAACAAGCAGTCACTGTTATCTAAGAAATAAGTGAAAGAAGAAAAGGTTAGTTCCTAACGTCAAAAAGTAAATTTGCACTTTCTTACCGCTAAACAAAGTTTAAATTCAATCATATCTATCAAAACAGTGTGCGCGTGTGCTTTGGAGCTGGAGCACAGAATTCGTCGTTTGAGGATTTAATGTCGCGTTCCGAAAACAAAAAAAAAAAAGCGATCGCGCAAAAAAAAAACATTTTTATGGGTAAAAAACACAAATCTATACTTAATAACAATATTATAAAGCTGCAGAGTTTGTTTGTTTGAACGCGCTAATCTCTGGAACTACTGGTCCGATTTGAATGATTCTTTCAATGTTGTGTAGTCCATTTATTGAGGAAGGTTTAAAGGCTATATTTTGTTTAATTCAAAATTAGGGATCTGTAATAAAATTGCTATTTTGTAACACAAGGAGTAAAATCGAAACCTATTTTTGAGAAATTATTTTAAAAAATTGCCTTAAGAGTTCTCTATTATGGAAATTTGTTCATACCTTAAAACTATCTACGGACTGTTACTTTTAGTTGGAGACGGAAAAGTAGCTTATTTCGAAAATATTATAAAAAGGAAAATTTTGTTAATTTTTAAAAAAAAAAAACGTTGCCCCCACTAGGATTTTCGCCTGTGTCGTGGGACAAACATACAATTTCACATGCACATCACACCCAGACCCGGAACAACAATCTGTGGATCACACAAAGAGTTGTTCCGTGCGGGAATCGAACCGGCGACACGTTGCGCGGCAGCCAGTTGCCCAAACACCGCGCCAACCGTGCAGTCCACCTTTGTATGTGGATGTGTTTTTTAATTTTATTAATAAATTTAAAAACTACTTAGTCGATTCTAATAATTCTTTCACCATTGGATAGCAACATTGCGTTACAGATGTTGTATTAATCTGGGAGAAGTAATAGAAAAAAAAAGTTAAAAAGTTATCTTCACCGTCGGCACCAAGCTAAGACTTATTTGTTTTCTATACATATAATAAAAACACACGTTGGAATTACGTGTACTTGGATCCTCGGATCAGGTAAAAAAATATTGGTATAGTTTTTATGCGATGGGTCGGCAAACGAGTAGTTGGATCGGCTGATGGTAAGCCATCTTCGCTACCAATAGGCACCTGTAACAGCAGAAGAGTCGCGACTGCGTTGCCGGCCTTTTAGGGGTTAGAAATTAGAGGAATTAATCCTCTGAGTTTAGGGATGGGGTGGCCAAAATGATTGATAGATAGATAGATAGATAACACATTTATTCAGCACAAACAATAACAGACACAAATTAATTGACAAAAAAGTGGGTACACAATACAAATTAACAAGAAAATGACACAAAATAGAATCAAACAAAAAGAACGAACGAATAGAACGAGAAAAAAAGGAGAAAAATAATAATAAAATACGGCGCGGTTCAGTGTGTCTTTAGTTTGCACCGAATGGGAGTCCAGCTCAGCATGTGTAAAGTATATACCTGACGCTGGTATTCTGCTGGATCCCTGCAATGACGCACGGACGTCGAGCAGGCCGAACAATGAACATCAAAGGCGTAATCAGTGCTCAGTGTTTTGTGTTTTTGAGATAAGTGTTTTAGGTTCTGTGTGTGTAGTGTTTCAATATGGACTATTGAGGGTGACTAATACTGACTTATAAAACTGTGTCATCATGTAAGCTACATATAATATTTTTGGCAACTTCAGGAAGAAAATATTAAAAAAAATACAAATCACAATCTTATTTATTAATAACACAATTACAATAAACAACAATTTAAATTTTAATTAAATAACGAATTTTGAAATTACAAACATAGATCAATCTAAACTAAAGACACGCAAAATTAATAGCAGACAAGACAGTTTAACCCTTCAAACGAGCAGAGGTTCCCTTGTACCATGTGTACTCAACGCAGAAAGAGGACTCCACTGAGCGCGCAGGCCCTTTTATAGGCAACCGTAGCTTCTCCCACCAACATCCCCTCCGATGACAGCCAAGACGTCACTCTTCCGCCAATACGGCCTCTCCTGACTGGAGGACGTCCCCGTTCTCCTGCGGCTGGGGCTGCAGGGCTTCTGCAGCTCTGGATGTGCTAGGCATCGGTTCAGGCGAAGTATCGATGGTGGGTTGCGTATCGACATTGGCAGCTTGCTCAGGCGTAGACTCCGCATTATCATCATTGCTATCTGCGCCTAAACATACAAGGAAAAAAAACATTAGTTATGAAACTGATTTTCATCATAAAATTCACATACACAATTTACAGTGAACCATAGGCACTACGTTAGCTTAGTTCACAAAACCAACAAAGAGGAAGCACGACGTTAGCTATCTTTGTTAACGAGAAACATAGGCACGACGTTAGCTTGTTTCTCAAATTTGAAAATGAACACATGACATAGGCACGACGTTAGCTTATCATGGTTCACACTAAAATAACATGACATAGGCACGACGTTAGCGTATCATGAAAAGAATACAAACGTATGACATAGGCACGACGTTAGCATATCATACGTCTTACCATCAAAGTATGCAGCGCATGTCTCTGGAGTCCACTCCCCGCGCCACGGCTTCATAAACTGGGCCGCAGCTTGCGTCGATTTGCCATAGGAACCTGCCAGTAGTTGCAGCTCGTATCGACCATGGGGAAGCGCTTTGACCACGCGATAGGGTCCGCGCATGCCGGAGTCAAGCTTGCCAGTCGATTGCGCCGTAGTGTTGATGGATCGTATGGCGTCAATCAAACGATCGGTCACGGTAGCATCGCGATCGGCGGCTGCACTCACGGAACGTCCAGGTGAAGACGGAGCTGCCGAGTCACGAAAACCTGCTCCATCTCGTGCCGTAGTCGCAGTCTCTTCCACGAGCTGCTGCTGCTGGTTGGACGGTTGTCGCAGCGATGCTGCACGTGACACACGCCGGTCTTCCTCAAGCGATGTCAATCGATCTAAAATTTGTTGCATTTGTTTAGTTAATAGACTGTTAGAAGCAATATCAGGTTGCCTAGGAATTCTATTCCCTTGCAAATCAAGTCGACTATTGTGCGATTCACGACCCCTAGAACGTGAGATGCGACCCCGAGAGCGAGATTCACGGCTCCTAGAGCGCACATCACGACGATGATGACGCGATTCTCGACTCACTGAACGGCCTCTTCTTCTATGGCTATTAGGCATCTTGTTTCTTTCTAACTTGTTTCAAATCAAATAAAAGGAATCGGTAGAAAATTTAAATAAATCAAAGCAATTGTATGAATAGCAACAAATCAAAACATATGATTGTAAAATTCTACAACTATACGTAAACAAAAGAATTTGCTTTCTAAATATCAAGAAAAACTGGAACGTACTCACCAAAACCACTAATACACACTTACACTTGAACCTTATTAATTACGCGGACGTTACAAATGCTTAACAGTTAATTTAAATGTTGAAATGTACCCACTTAAGAAAAAGAAAAAAAAATACGTTACGAAGTTTTAAACTGTCTTGATTCAAGGCGAACAAAACGAAATGGAACGCGAGGCGTATCCCACTTCTGATTTTGGCAACTTCAGGAAGAAAATATTAAAAAAAATACAAATCACAATCTTATTTATTAATAACACAATTACAATAAACAACAATTTAAATTTTAATTAAATAACGAATTTTGAAATTACAAACATAGATCAATCTAAACTAAAGACACGCAAAATTAATAGCAGACAAGACAGTTTAACCCTTCAAACGAGCAGAGGTTCCCTTGTACCATGTGTACTCAACGCAGAAAGAGGACTCCACTGAGCGCGCAGGCCCTTTTATAGGCAACCGTAGCTTCTCCCACCAACATCCCCTCCGATGACAGCCAAGACGTCACTCTTCCGCCAATAATATATATTTCTTTGGACTACGAA